TTAAAAAAATCAACTTTCCAGAAAAAGATAATGCCTGAAAGCTTATAGTGGTGGAACATGCATCAGTAATCTTTGGATACAATTTCTCAAATGCTAATAATCTTTCTACGGTTATATAATCTGCAGTATTATATATTTCTCTGCATTATGGATAGGATATCATGAGACAATGCAATTCTGATGTCCCAGAGAGTTCTCTTACTCTCTGTGAAGTCTGGAGCTCAGAATAAGATTTGGGGATTGGATAATTCAATGTTGAGGGAGAGAAGCTGTTTTGGGTATCATATGTTCAGCCACATCCATGGACTCAACCCTGTACAAGGCATTAGTAATTTCTTCCCTCTCCTATCCATCTACAGTTAGAAGACAATCAAAAATGTCTTCAGACATAGCTAAATCTCCCTTGGGTGGGAAGACTGTTTTGCTCTCAATGAGAACCTGTGTTCTAGACTCTGTCCTCCACTCTAATCTAGTAACTCAACAGATCCTTCATGGCTCTTTGACAATTTTTTAAAAAGATTTTATTTATTTATTTGAAAGGCAGAGTTACAGACAGTAGAGTAATAGACAATGAGAGGGAGAGACAGGGAGAAAGGTCTTCCATCCGCTGGTTCACTCCCCAAATGGCTGGAGCTGCGCCGATCCGAAGCCAGGAGTCAGGTGCTTCTTCCTGGTCTCCCGTGTGGGTGCAGGGGCCCAAGCACTTGGGCCATCTTCTACTGCTTTCCCAGGCCACAGCATAGAGCTGGATTGGAAGAGGAGCACCTGGGACTCAAACCGGTGCCCATATGGGATGCTGGCACCACAGGAGGAGGATTAACCTACTGTGCCATGGTGCTGGCCCCAATCTTTGACATTTTTATGAGCCCAGCTATAAATAAAATAATCATATGCAGCACCAAAAGAGTTCCACATCAGGAATTAGATGTACAGAAACTAAAAGAGATATTAAAATTAGAAGAAAAATAATGGGGCAAATGGGGAGAGATAACCCTAAAAGTTACAGTTGAGGGACTAGCATTGTGTAACAGTGAGTGGCTTACTGCCAACATGCAATGCCAGCATCCCAAATGTGCCCTGGTTCAAGTTCTGGCCACTTCAATACCGATCCAGCCCCCTGATAATGCTCCTGGGAAAGTAGTGGAAGATGGCTTGAGTGCTTGGGCACTTGCTACCTATATGGGAGACCTCGATGGAATTCATGGCTCTTAGTTTCAGCCTGGCATATCCTGGCCTTTGCAGACATTTGGGGAGTGAACCAGTGGATGAAAGATAACTCTCTCGCACACGCGCTCTCTCTCTGACTCCGCCTTTAAAATAAATAAAATCTTTAAAATAATTAGAGTTGAAGCTAGATTAATCTAGAGCAAAACAGTTATAAGAAAAGTGAAACATCAATAGCAGCTCTATGATGTAAGAAACAATCTTTGTGCATTCATTTGGCCTAGTGGTTGAGATGCTCATAGCCCATATCAGAGTGCTTGAGTTCAGTTCCCAGCTCTGTCTCCTGACTTCAGCTTCCCACCAGTGCAGACCTTGGGAAGCAGTGGTGATGATTCAAGTATGTACCAGGATTGAGTTTCTACCTCCTGGCATTGGCCTTAGCCCAGCCCTAGTCATCGTGGGCATTTGGGGATTGAACCAGTGGGTCACAGCTCTGTTTGTCTGTCTCTGAAAATGTTTTTTTTTTTTTTTCAAAGAAGCAATTTATAGGGACTTTTCTACCTAGATGCTCATCAAGGTATAATTTGGAACAGTGAAAAATGTAAACATTCTAATTGACTATGGAAGGCCACAGAATATTGAACAGTAATCAAAATTATGTATTTTAGAAGCATTCATGAGTTGGGAAATATTCACAATATAATGCCAGGAAAAAAAGCAAGATGCTATACATAGTATGGATACCAAGTTTTCAAAAAAAATATGTAAGTAGAAAGAAAATCATGAAAATGTTAATAGTGGTTATGGGGATATACTGGAATTATATATGATTTTAAGTCTTTATAGTTTCTATATTTCTGAAATTTTCTCAATGAACTTCCTATTCCTTTGTGAATGTGCTCGTTAGGAGCAGGTTCCAGGGGAAAGTGACCTCTGTGCTCTTTGGAGAGTGAGCACAGTGAGGCTGCTCATCTGTTTATTAAGAGCGTGGCAGGAAGGCAGGCTGGCCACAGGAGGACGTATGCCGGTGTTGTGGTGTGGATCACTCAGCTCTTCTGAGGAAAAGATCTGTGCATCATTTTTCAGAAAGTAAGACTAGTTTAGTGACATTCTAGCCAAACACTGTTCTTTCAAGTCAGTGGTTCTCAGCCTTCAGAATGCCAAAGAACCGCCTTGGGCTTACCTTTTAGATGCAGTTTCTAGGGCCCCCAAGTCCCAAGATTCTGATTCTACAAGTCTTGTGTAGGGCTCAGGCATCTTCATCTTTAGCAGCACCTCTAGTGATTCATTCTGACTCGGTTGGTCCACAGACTACACATTGAGAAGTGCTACTATAAGAAGCCATATGCCTTGATAATATTTTTTCTGCCTCTTTGGATAATATCACCCTGTTTATGCACTGTACATAGTTGGTCTAGACTTCAGACTTGCAGTGCTGTGTTGGCTCTTTTGGAAAAAAAAAACCACTTTATCACATTTGCCAGTTTCTATGATGCAAATTTTCCCATCATGGCCAATTTCAACCACTGATGGTTTAACAACCAGCTCACAAAATGCTTAGAAGTTTGACAAGAAGCTTATACAAGCTCACTCCAGCACTGCACAGTATATAGTTTAAGTGCTTTAAATATTTTGAAAAGAGGATATGCTTGTGAAAAATTACTATTATACCCATGACAGCTAGCATGAGAAAAGGAAACAATCAGATGGCTTGAATCATGTTAAAGGAAACAAAGTACAAATGTATTAGAAAAAGGACAATAGCTTCCACATAGTAGTGCAGATTTCAAAATCATTTGCCCCTAAAAAATATTAATTCCATTTTCTGCAAACATTTTCAAGCACACATATATTTCCTCTTTCAATTTGCTTTTTTTTCCAATGTCACATCTCCATGACGAGTGATACACTTGCTGAGTTCCTTGAGAGTTGTGAACTGGTTTCCTGTGGATGATGGAGAGCCAAGGAATGGGACTCCAGGATTGGGAACAATGCCAAATACTCAGTCTCCACCCTCCATGCCCCTCAGCCCCTGAGCTGTTGAAATGCCCTTAGTCATTAATTCTATCTCATCCAACCATAAAATCAACTCCTTCAACTTCTTCCCCTAGCATATGAATGAGCCAATGTTGTCTCTAGGAAACCCATATCAGATGTGTTTTATGTGTTCATATGTGGGAAGTAGCCTAAGTGGAGGCTAATAGTCTAGTTCTTTCAATATTTTTACCAGACATAATTTAAGAAAATTGGACCTGAAGCCTATATAGCCAGCTGAGGTGGATTTACAGCCCTGCTTTTAAGAACAAAACTCCCCTAGGCACCTGCTTCCTAAAGGCAAAACCCAAAAGGAAATGAACTCTTGCTTAAAGACAACCTACCTTATTTTATGGGTTATCAATTTTCTAGCTGGCACACAGTTTCCAGCTAGTAAGAGGAATTTTCCCCCATAGCAAGCAAATACTGAGCTACAAAATAATGTCAACTCTGCACTCCAGCAAATGACTCAGTTTCTTGAAGATGAGGCCTGGGACACAGAGCCATCAGTAAGTGAAGTCCGGGGAGCAACAGAGATCTATGATGTAGGCTCACCACAAAGATGTCTTTGCCAGTATATGCATTAAAATCTTGTGTGAGTTACATTAAACATTACAGGATTACTGAATCTTGGGCCATGATGAAGACCATCTCATCTTTGGGGTAGCTCTGTCAGGTGAATAGTTGACAACAATGTACAACACTTGATTTCCTTTTAACTGCTCTAGTGACCCTGGAGCTGAGCTTATCAACCTCTCAAAATGAGAAAGGACTAAATAGCTATCCCCCTTTGCTATCTATGGGGAACAGACTAAAAGATAGGGGTCAAAGGTTAACAGCAGATACTCAGACTGCTGCGGGCTAGAAAACACAATGAATAGATACAATTTTCTTGGTATACATGCTGGAGGAGTAAAATAAATACAAGAACTGACTCTATGAAAGCCACAGAACCAATGTCACTAATAGGCACATGAAAAGTTGGATCAGGGTGACTTCATGTATGACCGAGTGCTTAAGTTTTTGTTAGTTTTGTCACAATCTCAGTCTTTCTCCAAGTTTTACTTACTTGTGAAAGCAAAGAAATTTTCAGGAGAAATATGAATATTCAATTACATGATTCAAAAATCAGACATTTACACATCCTCTTGGGATAAGTGCCAGAGTTAACATCAAAGATATGCCAAGGACCTCTTGTCCAAATGGGACATTAAGCTCCTCAAACAGAATTCAGCCGCTGCAAACTGCCACTGTTTCAGTAAAGGAAGATGGCCCTTTAAAAGATGAGCAACCTACTTTTGAGCTTGCTGATAGCCTAATAAAAGACAATGTCTTTATTTTTTTTTTGAAAAAAAAAGAAGGACATGTACTTCTCAGATTATAGCACCCAAATGGATATGGCAGAATAATTAAGAAATCATGGAAAACTTGAGAAAAACTAGGAATGCAGTATGGGAATTTGAGAGTTCTAAATACCAGTAACAGAGTAACACTTTGATTTTTAAAAAAGCTAATCATTTCAATCATAAGGGAACTATGCATCAACAATGAAAATTTGGAGTGGCATATTATAGAATTATAAGTACTGATATAATAAAAACAGAAAGCCAATTTCTTCTCAAAATATAATATAAATTCCCCAGAAAGACCATTTCCTTATTTATCAGATCGCTTTCCTACCGTATCAGTCAGCCTCTCTGCTTCTTAAAATGAAAAGAAGATTTCTCCAGTTGATGACTGCAATAAGCAAATTAAACACAGACCGCAGTGCACATCCAGCAAGGGGCCCAGGCTCTGCTCACCGTTCCTGCTCCTCTTTCATCTTCTCCAGCTCCTCCTCTTTCAGGCCTCCGAGCTTCAGGGGTCCTTTCTGTGCAGCCTTCCCACCCTTATCGTCCTTCTTTTTCCCAAACCTAGTGACACATGAAGGAGGAGACGGTTGTTAACAATAGTAAACTTAAGGTTTTTATGAACTCATTAAACTGTAATTCTTCATTCTAAGTAACCAAGGTCATTTCGCATTAACAGGAAGCAAAGATAATGGAAGCAAAAAAAAAAAAAAAAAAAACCTGTTACTGAATTCTCCTTTTTATTTCCTTCTTTCTTTTCAATCAGATATGATTGTGTATCAAGCATAATGTCATAAGACTAATAATTCTGATCTATTAATTCAACAGAGAGTGAAAAACAACCTTTAACATATAACTAAAAACTGGCCTACAGTCCAAAAGGGACAAATATCATATGTTCTCCCTGATCGATGGCAACTAAACGAGCATCTAAAATGATACCCATTGAAGTGAAATGGACACTATGAGAGACAATGACATGATCAGCCCTTGTCTAGACTGTTGAGGAACAACTTACTATTTTATTCCTTTTAGTATTTTTGTTGTTGTTGTTGTTGTTGTTGCTGTTTGTTCTACATAAGACCACTGGTTGAACTCTGTAATCAATGCACAATCATTCTTAGGCGTTTAAAATGAACAGAAAAGTGATCTCTGTTAAACATAGGAGTGGGAATAAGAGAGGGAGGAGATATATAGGTTGGCACATACTCACTCGGACTTACCTCCAATGGTGGAACTAGAAATGTGCCAGGGGATTTCAACTCAATCTTACCAAAGAGGCAGGTACCAATGCCAACGCACTTGGTAAAGTGATAAGTATAAATACACAACTGATCAAAAAGATAGGGTATGTGTCGATGAGATTTCACAAATAAGACCAGTGTAAGCAACTAATGCAGGACAGAATTAAAAGGGAGAGAATGATCCTGTGGGGGAAACAGGACTCACAGCAGACTCATAGAATGGCAGCACTCCTGCCTCAGAATCAACCCTTGGGACATTTGGATCTGGCTAAAAGGTCCATGAGAGTCTCACAGGCATGGAAAGCCATGACATGGTGGCAAAAAACAATCTAAATGAAAGATCCTGGTGAACAAGACCCCAGCAGAAGGAACAGGCCATCAAGGAGAGAGGCACCTTTCTCTGAAGGGAGGAAGGAACCTCCACTGTGATACGGCCTTGACTAAACAAGTTCAGAGTCGGTGAACTCAAGGGGCTTCCATAGCCTAGACAGCTCATAGCAAGAGTCTCGGGTGATTGCTGACGTCATAAATAAGAGTGCCAATTGTTAAATCAACAGCGGGAGTCATTGGGTACATGCTCCCCATGTAGGATTTCTGTCCTTAATGTGTTCTACTATGAAACTTAAAAACAACACTACTAGTTGAACAATACCCTATACCTTGTGCAGTTGTGTGAGTGCATCCTGTTGAAATCCTTGCTTAGTATATACTAAGTTGATCTTCGGTATATGAAGGTAATTGAAAATGAAACTCGATGAAGGGCAGGATGGGAGAGGGAGTGGGAGAGGGGAGGGCCGCGGGAGGGAGGGAGGTTGGGGGGGGAAGCCACAACAATACAAAAGTTGCACTTTCTAAATTCACATTTATTAAATAAAAAATAACTATATAACAAACAAAAAAAGAAAAAGAAAAAAAAGAACTTAATACTTTACCCTTTTAGTATTTTTTATTTTCTACTTAAAACTATTGGTTGAACTCTGTAATTAATACACAGTTACTCTTAGGTGTTAAATTAATGCTATAACTAGTACTCAAATAGTATTTTACACTTTGTGTTTCTGTGTGGGTGCAAACTGTTGAAATCTTTACTTAATATATGCTAAATTGATCTTCTGTATATAAAGATAATTAAGAATTAATCTTGATGTGAATGGAAGGGGAAAGGGAGTGGGAGAGGGTAGTGTTGTGGGTGGGAGGGAAGTTATGGGGGGGGGGGAGCTATTGTAATCCATAAGCTGTACTTTGGAAATTTATGTTCATTAAATTAAAAAAAAAAAAACTGGCCTAGTTCCTCACCATGCCCCCAGAACTCCAGTGTGAACATTTTAAGGTTAAATTCATGGCATTATATCTTGATAATACAGCCAGGGGAGCTACCAAACACCTGAGTCATTACTGTCATTTTACCCAGGAAGAATCAGGAGCTCTGAGAAGATCTGAGCCTTGACCAAGACCTCCCAGCAGGCACAGCACAGGGCTGGGGTAGAAACTGCTTGCTTCCTCCACTGTAGTTTTGCTTTCAGGCCGCACTCACCCTCTAACAAGCCTGGGCTCCCCAAGTCAGCTCAGGGCTAGTGTGCTCTGAGCACTCTCGGGTGCCTGACCTATAGGTCCGTAGTTAAAGAGGGACAGTGATGATTATGATTTTTTAAAGACTTATTTTAGTTATTTTACACAGAGAGAGAGAGAATCTTCCATCAGTTGATTCACTCCCCAAATGCTCACAAGGGACCAGGTTAGGCCAGATCCTGAAACCAGGAGCCAGGAGCCACATCTAAGTCTCCCACATGAGTGCAGGAATCCAAGCACTCAGCCCATCATCCATTGCCTACCCAGGTGCATCAGCAGGGAGCTGAATTGGAAGTGGAGCAGCTGGGACTCAAACCGGTGCCCAAGTGGGCTGCTGGCCTTGTAGGCCCATGGCTTTACCTACCAGGCCACAACACTGGCCCCAATTATGTTCTACAAGAGCAGTGTTTCTTTACTCTTTCAGAAAAATGAAAACTTCACATGTGAAGTTAAAAAAAAAAAGAAAAGGCTGCAATCAAATTATTTCTAGGATTTATTCCTACGTGACAGGCATTCTATGCAAGAGACATTTTCTGCAGAGGTACTCTTCCATGGTCTTGGTAGCAGCACACTGAAAAAACAAAATAACTTGATGCTTTCTTAGTAATCAAGGGAAAAATCATTCACTTACACTTATTTAGTTTAAACATCTTCCTTCAATTCCCATTTATTTTCTTTCTTCCTATCTTTCATCTATCTATCTATCTATCTAGGTAACCTAGAGTGATTTTGTGAATTTTGCATGCTGGCCCTGGTCTACTCTTCCTACTTTCTCCTCGTAAAATACACAGGAAATTAGAATCTCCTCACATGAGGCTCTGACATACAAATTTTGAAGACAATCCTATATTCTGAGCAAACAGAATAATAGAAAAATAAGCTCAACTCTGTCTTCTTCAGAATTCTATAAACATAGGTATTTATTTGTAGCTTTCTGGATTGTGTTTCAAGCCACAGCTTAGATTATTAGGGGGCAGCTCTGTGTAGCACATCTGGAAGATGTCACTGCTAGTACTCACAGCCCTGCCGTTATCGGAGCACACATTCCATCCTGCTTTCCCCAGAAGCCCCCTCGCCGTCGTGAGCAAGTCCTGGTCCATGAATTTGCTCCCCCATCACCATCTCTCCATGCACCTCTACTCTTGCTGAGATCTTTGTTCTATCCAGTCTAGTTTTGGGACCTGGTCAACCGAACTTTCAGCTGTAACTCCATCATCTCACGTCTTCCTCTATTCCTCATTTTTTTAAAAATTTCTTTTTCTCTTTTCTGCCTCCCTTTCTAAATTCATTCTTTTTTTTCCCTCACTGAAGAAATGATCTTTTCTCAATGAAGAAAAGAAATGAAGAGCTAACTAGGGAAAAGAGAAAAAAAATACAGACAAAAATATGAGAACGCTAACTTTCAAATATAATTCTGATCTGTACTCAAAGCTTCTCCTCTCTTTAGCTTGCTGAACACCTAAATGTTTCCACAAACACGTGCTTTAGCTTCCCACATCCAGGCAGAGGAGCTTAGATATCAAAAGTATTACTCTAAATATGTCTGTGTGAGACATTACTACTTAGTACACCATCTGATAAGTAATTCCCCTCAAAATGCCATTAAGTATAATAATATTTAGGCAACATATTTAAAAATGAGGGGGACCAGAGTAGAAATAATACCTCAGGAGGCTGATGAAGGCAAAAACGTTACTGAGAGCTCACAGACATTAGGCTTATTTTTCCTCCATGTCTCATACATTTCCTTCTAAACTTGGAGGTTTTAGATGTTCTGAGATGAAAGTAGTCTTATTTTTGAAGGGTAAAACTAGCCCATTCCCTAGTCTGCCTTGATCTTTATTACCACGCCCAATACATTATTTTTCCTTCCAGCAGTTAAAATATTTCACTTGTTCTGCAGTTCAAGAATAACTCACTATGTTTCCACCATAGCTGAATAATAAGGAAAATGTTAGTTTTAAGTAAGTTCTGCAAAGCATTTTCTTTTTAGCAGGAACTGTCAATAATAGTCAAATTAATTCTACAAATATTATAAATGTTTTGATTCAAATTGCTTGATCCTTTGTTAACGTTTCCAATAAGAAGGGCAGAAATAGCTGTAACATTCATTTTATTAGCTAGAAAGAATGGCTATAAGTTACTCTCTTTTATAAACTTTGGGCAGGTTCAAGAACAGAATTAGAAGGTAGTACTTGTCTCTGTGCAGATGAGGAAATTGAGACCCAGGGCAGCTCACTGCATTTCACGTGTTGATGTTCTGAGTACCAGCTTTGCAAACAGACCACTGCACTATCCTGGTGGCAGTGGGGGCTGGGGGTTGGGCAGTCAGGAGGAAAGCACTCACTTGGTGACTTTTATGCCTTCTGGAGGTGTCCCTCACAGCCATTCTTACTTTCACTGCGCTACAGAAAGGAAAGTTAGGGAGTTTCATCTCCCCGTTGGCTATTTTTGGTCAGAAAAGCCATGAGAAGCCTTAATGGTAAAAACTATTGCTTTGCATTCTAAACTTTCAAATACTCACTGCATTATAGGCCTCCCATTATCTATTACCTTAGACATTTAGGAGTTGGCCATTCTGGGATAGGCGCCTTAAGGAAATTCTTTATAGGTCAACCCTGCTTTACAGAAGATATTTTCCTGAAAATTTTGTGCAAACATATGGTTTTAATCAGTAAAATCTTATTTTACATGTACCTGGGAAGTCTGTTTAAAGGTTCATATGATGGATCTTTTTGTAAAGTGGAAAAA